CCCCCCGCCGCTCCCCTCCTGGCAGGGGCCGCGGGAGAGCCGGGGGGTGCTCTCCAAAGAAGGGCAAGGGGGCACAAAGATTGGTCTTGCTGCGCCTGCTGGTCTTGGGGCAGAGGTGGCACCTTCAGAGATGGCTGGGTGTCCTGCTGGTGTGAGGGTACCGGACAGACTTAGAGAGCCGAGGACGGGAAGTCAGCAGAGACCCTGGCCCAGGTCTATCCCTCCTGGCAGACTCGGGTGCTGATGTTATCCCCACGGAACGAGGTCTCTGCCAGCCGTCCAAGGCCCCTGAAGAACTCCTGGGAGAACTTCTGCAGAAAACACGGGCAGGGGAAACACTTCAGAGACAAGCACATGCTTTCCCGGCTTCTTTGGAGATCAGTGAGGAAAAAGCAGGAAAACTCCGTCCTGTGCTTTGCCGCAAGCCCCTCAAGGGCAGCTGTGCCCCAGGGCTGTGTCTGAAGGCCATGCCTGCCCTGGGATCCTCCTTCCCCAGACCACCTCTGCTTTCCATCCGTGGTTTCGATCTGATTTCACAAAGCTTTATGAAATGACCAGTGAGAGAATGGTGAGAGCTTGGAGCACCTTGAAGGGGGTTTCTTGGAGTCTTTTTGCAGTGACTTCACCAATGTCTGGCTTTGCTACAATGAATAACGTATCCATCCTTTCCTCCCCCCTCCCAAATGCTTGAAGCATCCATCCCCACACAGAACCAGCCCTGCCTCTTCCAGAGCCCTCCAACTTAATGAGTTTTCACTGAAAGGTGCTGCCATCTCTCAGCTCGCTCAGCAAGTTGAAAGCTGGACCTGAATTATCCACCCACGATGGCCTTTCTTTGTGCCTGAGTCACCTGGAATGTGTCACCTGCACTGACGAAGACATGTAAAGTGACTGAAAGCAGCAGCGGCACTGCTGTGAAGCCCGTGCTGGTGTCTAAGCAACACATTTTGAGACCTGCAGAAATGGCTGAGCCAAACAATCAGAGTGGGTTTAATCAAGTTGCTGGGAAAAGTTGGTTTGGTTTTTTTTCAGCAGAGATGCCCCAGGTTGTGAGTGCTGCCGAACCTGGACAGGATGCTGTGGTGACTAGATAATGCTGGAAATGCCTAAACTTCTCCCTGTGGTATAAATTCCCTTCAATTCACCTCAGAGATCACTAGATAACACAGACCATGCTGGTGCACACAGACCATGAGAGTGAGAGAGTAATGGGTAGCACTGAGGCACGAAAATTTGAGCCC